CAACAGAGATTTATTTTTCATTCGAATCTTTTTATTTCTGGTACCAAAGCATCGATTCCTGAACTTCTCAAAAATGAAATGGTCTCCCCCTTCATACGATCTCCCCGTTCTTGTAGTAAGGAATCGATACCTAAATCATTTTCAGTTAGAAGACACCTAACAAAAAAATAATAAATACGACAATTTATTTTGTTCTACACTTGGAATTGATTTTAATTAAGTGTGTGTTGATATATTATATACAAACTGCGAAATAATAATTATAATAATTCAAAATAATTACTTGTAATTAATAAACTTTAAAGCAATATTTTTGTACGCTATTATTTCCGAAACGTAATAATAATGATTTTTTATATATTTAAGAGAATAATTTAAAAAAAAGAAGAAAAATTTACACTTATCATATGCTTTAAAAATATTTTACCAGCGTTATCGGTGATATGAATTTTTTAACCTTTAATACTGATTATATTAAATATAAATATTTTTCAAATATGTAACAAGTTAATGGGAGTAAATAATGAAATCAACCGTAAAATTATATATACAAATATATTAATACCAATCATAGTTTATTGACACAACCATCAAACTGTTTAATGCTTTTTATAGGAACTACAGATTAAATTTTTTTAAAAGTACTAATAAAAAGCATAATTATGCTGTATTAAGAGAAAATATGTTTTTCAAATATCTTCCAAAGTTTTTAGCATATATAATACAATAGTTTAATATTTTAAGGTTGAAATATATATAATTAATATTCAATTTATTTGTGTTTTGGATTTCAAAGTTCAGTGTTACCAACATGCATTAATATTTCTGCTCTAGAAAGCGGGTATAAAAGTTTACCAAAATCTTTAAAGTTTCAGCTAATTTTTTTTTGTAAATTGCAGTAATATAAAAATTAAAGAATGCTTTCTTGTAACAAATAGATATGATAGATACATATTATATCTTTAAAGAGAGATAATAAAGTAAATTTTTTAATATACATACACTTCATTAAATTATTAATTTTATTTTTATTAAATTTTTAGAATTAAATTCACGTGATGATAGTATTGTAAGAAAATTTATGCTGTCAATTAGTATTGAAATAATATGATAAAATAATAGTATTGTAACTTGTAGTTTGTAACGCAGTGTTGCCGTTCTGTTTGTCATAACATATTTATAATTTATATATAATAAAAATCATTTATTATATATTATTGACAAATATGTATAAAATTTTTGGGGAACTTGCATACAATTTATTTTAAACCCTTAAAAAAAAACCTCAACCCAACTAAAAAATTCCCGAAGCAATTTAAAAATTTTTAATTTAAGGGGGAGTCTCCTAAGTACACTACCCTACTTGTTTTATCCAAGTCTTTAACAATATAAATAACACTATTAAAAATTAAACCATTTGAAATAACAGCAGCAATAGTGAAGAAAAGTAATAGAATTTTTAATTATTTTTTGTTAAAATTTTAGCGAATAAAAAAAAAATTGTTTATATAGAAAATTTTTCAGAAAATATAAATCATAAAAATTACATTATTCATCAAATCATAGATAATTACACTCCATTCCAAACAATAATTACATTAAAATTATTCCTTACATATTCATAAATGAGCAGATCCTGATTTATATATAAATTACTGAAACGGTTTCTATAAAAATGCTAGTAAAAAGCACTAATATGCAGCAATACTGTACTTCTTATATAGTTTTTATACAGAAATAATCTTTGATATTTTGTGCCAAATACAATATGTTAATTTAATATTTAAAAAATATTGAAAATATTTAAAATATATGAAATTAGTTTTATAATCATTGTTTTATTGTTATATTTTAACCTGTGCTTATAAGGTCAATACAATGACAATTTAATTAGAAAAAAATTTTCTTTTTTTTTTTTGATTCAAAAAAATTTACAATATTTTTTGACTCCTGATAAGATATAAAAACAATTTCTTAAAAAACGGAAATTATTATTATGAAAGAGTCTTGTTAAGTGCATATGTGACAATTTCCTAAAATTGTTTTACAAGTTTTAGTTTTTTCGTTCATCTTGAGTAATAAATGACTTTTTGCAAGTGTTTCTAAAAAGTTTTTTATCTATGACATTGATACTTTTTTATAATTGCTCACAAGATATTAGAAATTAGTTGATATTTAACTTTAATATTGAAAAACAAGATCGCAACGTATTCAAAAAAAAAAATCTGACATCCCATTTACACAAATACCATTTCTGGGCTGTCTAAGATCTTTTTCTTCTATTCAATAGTTTTTCATAAACATTCCTTTAGAAATCATTAATGATATTAAGAACACACGTTTGATATAACTATACAATATATCGAAATATGTAATGATACTGATTGATATTAACTTATTAAGAT